TTCCTACAGGAATCTATTTACAGTTTCCTAGCAGCCTGGAGACAAAGCCTTCCCCTTTCAGTTCTCTCTGGGCCCCTGCACAGGTCTCTGGAGGACTGCAGTCATATCTTTCCATATTGCAGCACCTGAGCGCATGTCCGTGTTATGTAGGGCTTCGTCAGGTTGCATGATGTATTAGCGGTTAGGCTGTTCCTTTGTGTGTGCTGGTGTTTGCGCCCCTCCCCTCCCCCCGCTTCCCCTGCATCGTCTGCATTTGTAAAATGAAATAAATATTGACACGGGCGGGATGCTATTCAATTTGTCCTGATCACTGGGCTGCGGTGAGTTCTGACAGGGCAGAGTGTAAAACATAAGCTCAGGATGTAATTTCCACTGTCAACATGATGTACAGTATGGCTCTGCCAAATACATACCGACAAGCCGAGCGAGCCCTCTCGGGGAGGGGTACAAGTCACGCTGATAATTGGGAAGCTGGGACTGAGGAACGTCAGCAAAGGTGGCGTTTCACTTGGATTCTGAACTAGGGGTGCAGGGGGGGTGTGAGCACGAGCTAGAGCCAGCCAGCGTGTGTGAGCCCCCATAGGCCGTCACGTCGGGACGCTGCACTGCGTGCTGGTTCTGGCAGCAGCAGCTCCCATCAGTTATTTATGGCCCATAGCTCATGTGTGGCAGAGAGAAGTGCCCCAAGTCAGTTATGAAAGGTCATCAATATCACTGGGAAATAAATGCTGTCGCCAGCCTCTGCCCCTTGTGTGTTGGGTCTCCCTGGGCCCTGCCCGCAGCAGAGGACTTCATGTCCTAGCACAACAGCTTTGGATGCAGCACCGAGAGGCTACGGGAAGGGGAGAGGAAGGCTGCCCCTGGAGGAGGCTGGGGGAGCCTGCGAGGCAGGGATAAGCTGGAGAGGAGGGTATGGTGGATGTATGCAGATAACAGACCATTGACCCAAGCCCAGCCCTTATATAGCACCGGAGGCAGTGCTAGCTCACTGGGGGCCCTAAGCAGGACTATTCCCCCCACAACACATAATAAAAAGCAAATGGGGGGGGGGGCCTTGAGCTGCTCAGGGCCCTAAGCAATTGGTCTGCTTATGCCTAGTGACAGCTCTGAATAGCACAATCCAAATGCGTGACTGTAAGGGTGAGAACAGTGGAATGGAGTCTGAGCACTTGGTGGCCTCACGCTGTAGGAACATGTTTATCTCCAGCTCCCACAGATCTGCTCCTGCAGACATCCCTCCAGCGCTCTGCATTTCTGTGGCCACAAGACCAAGGGCTGCAAGTGGATCAGACTGGCAGTGTCCTGAGGGGCGGAGCAAATGGAGGAGTCAAGCCCCATTAAATTAGCAGTGAATTGAGGGTGTGTGTTTTTCCTCCTTTCCATGTCTCCCACCATGAGAGACTTTTCCTGCACTCTGTTGCACTCCGCCCCGGCCGTGCACCAGTCTGAACACGCTGTGCTGTGCGTGCTCCGGCTGCAAGGGCCATCCCTTGTTTCTTGGACACAAATATGTCCTGTAGGAATACACAAATGTGCCTGTCAGGTGAAATTGGCTAATGCCCTTTCTCTGCTGCCTCTAGGCATTTCCCAGACCAGGGGCTGTGTGTGTTTTCCCTGTGGAGACTTCTGGTGAACCTGAGCGTGGCTGAGCAGGCAGGGTTCTGGTGATGGACAAAGGGTGAGAATTCTGAGCTCTGGTGATTGCTTCCCGCAGTGTACTTAGTATTGTGACAGGCCTGGAGACGAGACCAGAATGGACCCTTTGTTAAGTTCTGATTCTAGCAGTTGCATTTCCTGAGTGCAGCCCATCTGTGTTATGGCTACAGGTCTCACTGCACCGCAGAAGTGTTGTGTAATAACAACAACTTAGCACTGACAGCTCCAGAGGTGGATGCCCTTTGCTTGTCCCCAGGCAGGCTCAGCACAGGCGGAAATAGAGTGAGTTTCGCCCCACCTTGGGGCTGAGAGCCGAGGAGCAGGACAGGCTCTGGGGCGCAAGGGGTGAGTGTTTGCTAGCAACTGGCCTGAGACCCACCAGCTGATTTCACGCCCACCCAGAGCAGCCATGGGATGGGAGCCATTTCTGGCCAGTGCTAGGGGACCAACTTCCCGAAGCTCCAGTCCACTTCAGCATGGTGGGTTTGAACCTTCTCAGTGGGGCTGGAACATCCTTGGGTTCGTGTTGGGCTGAGGAGAGAATAGAACAGGGATGGGTTGAGATTCCCATGGAAAGACCCCACCCTTGGCCTGAGGGCTCTTCTCTCCCCAGGGCAGAGCTGAGGCCGACCTCTAGCTAGAAAACCTGCTTTAGCTGGATCGCTGCTGGGAGAAATGTGTTGGCAGGAAAGAAGATTCAGGCGCTCAGGCAGGTTTGCAGAGTCTGTAAAACCCTGGACTTAGTGAGATTTGTCAGCCCTGGTCATTGCCCAGCAGGGCCGGATTCAAGTGGTCTGACCCGGAGATGAAAGCTCCGCAATAGCAGAGACTTTCCAGTCAGGCGTGACTGTGTTACACTGGCCATTGTCATGGATGCTTTGTACAGTATGTTTATGTGCATGCGTGTGCTTTATGTGTGGTTTTGTTACAGGGCTTTTTGCTCCCCGGGAGCAACTGGCTTTGGCCGTCGGAGATGGGGCTAGATGCATCCCACTGACCTAGCACAGCAGTGCTTCTGATGCCAAGGGACGGAGGGTGCAATCAGATTGGCTGACAGAGGGTTCAGCCCAAGTGATTGTGGGCTGGTGGCCGACATTGTCAGCCCTGCACCCTCCAGCAGTTCTACCCACTCATCCCTCCCTGCCGCCTAGAAACAGTTTCCTGCTTTAAAATGTCTTTCGTATTGTTTGATCGCAGGGAAACCTGCCTAATTGGCACAAGTGACTCCAAGACCCTCTGTCACACACTAGGAATGAGTGAGCCAGGATGGCTGGGCCATGACCTTCGCTCATGCCCTCTCGGGCCTAGTGCATGGGTGATAATTCTTTGCATTTACTAGTGAGTATTCGGTAGCACGTGCAGTGAGAGGGGAGATATCTCAGTGACAAGAGACCTTGCTACAGCTCTGTCTGCTGAGGAGTGGGCCCAGGCGGTGGGACCTCTGGGCGATGCATTTGGGAAGGAAGCATTAATGAGGCTCAACAATAATTCCTGACTCCTCAAAGTGCACCAGAGACCCTGTGTTCCCCAGAGCATCAGGTGCCCACGGTGCGGTGTGTGTGTGGGTGAGTGCGCACTGGCCCCTGTGCATGTTATACAGGGCATATGTGTATATGCTGTAGCAGACCCGTGTGTGAGCATGCTGGCGTGTGCATGACACTTGTGTGCTGTGTAGGAATCAGGAACTGAGTGATGCTCAGTGTCTCCGCCATGTGAACGCCCTGTGTGCTGTGGTGTGAGGGGGCAGGGAAATACCAAAGCAATGCTGCAGCGAGCTGGCGTGCTGTGTGAATTAAGCCAGTCAGGCCCGTGTGCCTGTCCCAGGAGGGCGGGGAGCCGGGTGCATGCGAAGGACTTGTCAGCTGCTGCCGAACTTGGCTTTGTAGCATCTGGCAGTGGCTGGGCTTTGAGGAGCCCTTCTCCAGGCAGCTGTGTGACTCCTGTGCTCCGGGGAGATCCTGGTCTGATTCGTAAGGGACACGGTCCAGGATGCCCCCTGCCCTGCCCCTCTGTCGTCTCTAGGGGACAGAGAGGTGCCTGTCCATCCGCCCATGGGCACAGCGAGGCTTATCGCAAGCTGTCTGAAATGGTCCCTGTTACACAGAGCATGTTTCCATCCTGGTGGCAGGTCACAAATCTCCTGCCCAGGCTTGTCTGTCTGTGTCTGGGACAAGGCCGGACCTGGCTGGGAAGTTGGTATTGAATATTCTCTGGACTCCTCTCCTCAACCACTGTTGATCTGGAGCTCAATCAAGGTCGCTCTGGCTCCCACAGACCCGAATTTGGGGCTGGCAGCTCCTTCCCAGTCTGAGAATATCAAAGGGTGAGGCTGGTGAGAGGGGCTGGACAGGCTAATGGGTGGAGCCCAGAATTGGGGAGCCAGTCTCCCCTGAGCTCAGGCCAGTGTTGTCCAAAGCACGCACTCATTAGAGTGCTGAGCTGCACACACAGGGTGTCACGCAAAACCTGTGCCCCTCAGCCCTGGACCAACAGCCGCTGCTGGGAGCGTTAGCCTGTGGGGCCCTCCCAACGCCATCTGATCACCCTGAGTAACTGTACTCGCTCTCACTTGGATCCCAGAAGCAGCGTGAGGGGGAGGCGCGCTGCGCAGCTGCCGCCTTACTGGTTTGAGCTGTTGCTGTTCTCCGGATCCCTGCTAAATACAAGAATTTCCATAGAGATGAAAGCGCCACAGCTCTGCTACCCTCCTCCTCCCGATGTCCCTGGCTCTAGCAGCTCCTGCAATGCCAGGCTCCCACACGTGGCACCAGGGGAGGGGGCAGCAGCACCACAAAGAGGGAGAGAAAGCAGGGGAGGAAAAGAGCCAGGCAGTGAGCACAGGAGATGAAGGGAGCATGAGGGGCAGCCAGACGACGGGTGGCACTCAGAGGGGGGAGTGCAGTGCTCAGCCCAGGGGTCGTCACTAACATCTCGGCCTCTTTCAGGTTCCCAGAGACGTTGTCAGTTGCCCTGTGCTCACCCGAGTGAACTGGCAGAGGATGGAGGTGACCGGCAGCAGCTTGGTGAAGGGTTCTCCTCTAGAAACTGGAGTGCAACAGCCGCGAAGATGGAGAATACAAATGCCCTCAGCCTGAGCAGCCCTGCACCAGGGCCTGCCACAGCTGGATCTGTAGCCTGATAGCACAGGGCCTGTTTCCGGAGTGGGTGAGCGCCCGTCTCAGCCACAACCGGCTGCTCCTGTTAAGATTTCTCATGAAACTTAATGCAAAGGTGCTTGCTCTGCCGTCCTGCAAACTACAGGTGCAGCCTTCTCTGCCCCCACAAGGAGAGCCCTGCCACAGGCAGCAGAACCCCCCTCTCTGCTTGCTGAAGTGTCCCCAGGGTGGGATGTGGGGAGAGCAGGGGGGGGATAAATGGTCTTTTGACCCCTGGCTCCCAAGGAACTGCAGCCACCAGTCTTTCTGCTCCGGCATTGCTGCAGCCACCAGCCCAGCCACGGAGCAGCGCAGCCCTGGGTCGCTGGCGAATGGGGCACGCGAGCGCTGATGGGAAAGTACTAATCGTCTGGCCACACGGAGTCTCTGAGGGGGCCCAGGCTGTAGCCTCTTCCAGGCAGAAAGCTTGACTGTTCTCGCCTTGCTCAGCCTGATGCCAGGAGCCGAGGACGCTGGTCGCTTGTTGCTGTCAGCAGCATGCCTGGGGCCTGGGCAGACGTAACTCCTGGCCAACAGGCACCCTGAGGAGCCTGACTGTCTAGAGCGAGGTCTCGGCGGGGATGGGGAAGCTGCCCCATCCGGGCTGGTGAGCCCCACAGTGGTGGTGTCAGGCCCCTTCCTGCTCCCCAAAGGATGTCAGCGTCCTCTCTGAAAGCCACTCTCCATGCAGCCTCCCGGTGCACAGTGGTGATGGCGCTGCCAGGCTTCTCATGGACCGTACTTCTGCTACTCTGCACCCTGGAGCAGCTGGGGGCCCTGGCCATGCACACGGAGGCCGGGGGGCCGGGCCTGGAGCAGCCGGGGGCCCTGGCTATGTACACGGAGGCCAGGGGGCCGGGCCTGGAGCAGTCAGGGGACAGCATGCTGCTGGCAGGTGGACGTGTGAAGCGCGGCTGGGTGTGGAACCAGTTCTTTGTGGTTGAGGAGTACACTGGCACGGAGCCGCTGTACGTGGGAAAGGTAAAGTGACCTTGGTATGTCTCTGCAGGGCCCAGGCGTGTCGCCGGGAGGGGAGGGGGCTGGAGCTAGGCCAGGAGCGTGGCCAGGCACAGCGGGTGCCCCTGCTGCACAGGAGGAAAGGCCCTTGCTGGGGGAGGGGCTGCACTGAAGGCAAGGAGCATCGCTGGACGGGGTGGGCAGGCTGCTCAGGTGGATTAGGAGCCCTCAGGGCCGGGCAGTTTTTTAGGCTACGTCTACACTACGGGGGAGGATCGATTTCAGATACGCAAATTCAGCTAAGCGAATAGCGTAGCTGAATTCGACGTATCTGATCGGACTTACCCCGCTGTGAGGACGGCGGCAAATCGACCGCCGCGGCTCCCCCGCCGACGGCGCTTACTCCGACCTGGGCTGGTGGAGTATGCGCGTCGATTCGGGGATCGATTATCGCGTCCCGACGAGACGCGATAAATCGATCCCCGAGAGATCGATTTCTACCCGCCGATCCGGGCGGGTAGTGAAGACAAGCCCTTAGACACAGTCAATGTTTGATGGGGCTTCAGTAGGGCCAGTGGGTTCAGAGAAAATCCAGAGCAAGGAATACCCCCTAGATGGACAGCTGCCACCTCGAGTGCTATGTGGGCACATGGGAGGGGAGGAGGCAAACTGGCAGCACCCAGGGGGCACTAGGGGGAGGGGCAGGCTGGCAGTGTCCCAGGGGGGCGATGGGAAGGGGGGCTGATGGTGTCCGGGGGGGGGGAGGGGAGGGGGGGGCTGGCAGCGCCCCCAGTGGGGTGATGGGAAGTGGGGGGGCTAGCGGTGCCCCCGGTGGGGTGTTGGGAAGGGGGGCTGGCGGTGCCCCCAGTGGGTGGGGACGAGGGGAAGGGGAAGTGGTGGGCAATGCCCTGGGGAGCGCCCCGACACACAGAGTGCAGTGCACTCTCCAGTGGTGGTGCTGAGCTCTGATGGAGACATGTCCCAAATACCCTCACTGGGAAGCTGGATGAGCAGGGCCCGGGAGCTGGGGGTGGGGGATGGGCTCTGTGGAAACAGATTGCACAGCAGGGCCAGGCTGGGCCCTGGGACTCACACCTGGACAGAGCTGCTCCTGCTGGGTGTGTGTATGGGGGGCAGCCAGACAGCAAGTTACCATTCCATCCAGACCCCTCCTCCCTGGGAACGCCAAGGTGGGAGGGTCAACGGCAGTGCCCTGAAGGGAGCATCATCATCACTCCAGCCAGGGGCTCCCTCTTCACTTCCCAGCGACAGGCACAGGGGCCTTGCATCCCCCTGCACTGCATTCCTCTCTAGGGGGTAGCTCCATGGCACTGCATCCTCCCCTCCTCCCTGCACCCCCCCATAGCTCAGTGGCACTGTATCCTCCCCTCCCCCACCCCCAGGTCCATGGCACTGCATCGTCCCCTCATCCTGCCCCCACCCCTGTAGCTCCATGGCACTGCATTCCCCAAGTCGTCCTCTTGTAGGGGTGGTTGCATTGGGTTTCAGACTCTCACCACTGGCTTGCTCCCAGTCCTGGGAAGACTAAGCTCAAACGTACCAGCCGGATCTCCCCTGAGGACTGTGCTGGCTGTTTTCTGGTTCCTGGTCTGTGCAGATTGGGGCTGGCTCAGAAAACAGCCCCTTCAGGCCTCCATGTGCAAATCCCTCTCCCGCCCCGTTCCTCTGCCCAATTAGTTACCCCAGAGTAAAGGTGTTGCTGTGTTTACATAATATGACTCCAATTTGCATAAAAGATTTGCATGGAATGCACTTAATATGCCTCTATTTGCATATGAATGTGCCAGGATGGATGGGGGGGGGTTTTCTTAGGGCAAAGGCTAATATTACAGGTGCAAAGTCACTTTGCTATGGGCCAAGGGGTCTGGCTCCTATGTCCCAGGTGCAGAGCCAGCAGTCCTGGGTGGTGCATGGGGGATGGGCTGGTGCCTGGGCAGGAGTCCCGGGTGATGGGAGTTCCTGGGGCACCCAGGAATGCAGTTTGCTTTCCTCGTATTGATATTCTGCTCGTGCCCAGTCAAGATCAGGCTGCGTTGCACTGGGCTCTGTACAGCACCCAGGGAGACTCAGCCAGTTCCAAACCCTGCCGTTGGGTTTGAGACTGATGATGGGGGTGGAGAGACAGGACAACGTGGGGGGATAAGCTGGTGTCGGTGCGTAGGCTCCACGGAGCCAGTCCTATGTCCACGTGAGAGCTGAGTGCAGGGCCTTGCACAGTGGCTGTTGCCCAGGGGAGTGACAGTCTACTAACCTCAGAGGCGACTCAGTTCATGCCATTTATATCTTCTCTTTCCCTTAGCATTTCTCTCTCTGCTAGCTGATGAATGCTGCTGTTAGACCTGGCACCATGGAGATGCTCCGAACCTCTGGTGAGGGGTGTGGTGTGAAAGCCCAGAGAGACAGTAACTGTGGTAGCTAACTGCATGTTGCCCCTGCCAGCAGCCGGGGCTAGCATGTGCTTGTCCTCCAGCACCCAGGTTGGCACTCAGTGTTTGTGCAGTGTGGATGGCCCCCTGGCCCTGCCCATGTGACCTGTTTGGCTGGTGCTTTCCTCAGTGCTCTGTGGTTAGGCCATCCCAGGCCTTCTCCTCCATCCCCTGTTCCAGCACAGTGAGCGAGCATCTCCATTGCGCAGCATGCCCTGATGCAGGCGCAGTGAGGCAGCATGGAGACTGTGTTGGGGGGGATCCCCCGTGTCAGCTGGGGCAGAGAAGCGTGCTGTGAGCCGGTTCTGATGGCTTGGCTGTGCTTGGGGCATGTATGCTTCAGAGCTGAGAGTCTGGGGGGATGCCACGTGGACAGGATCACTAGTGAGGTTCCACTTGAGTTTGAAACAGTCCTCTGTGCCCGTTTCTGCAGACGCTCAGGAAGTCTTGCTCCTCCATGAAGAAGCTGGTTGCAGTTACAGTTAATTGACAGCTCCCCTGGGGAGCGACTTGAAGCATCAGACCTTGTCGAATTCCAGAGGTAGCCTAGCAACAGCCTCGTTTCCAAAATGAACTCAGGAACCTAAAACTGGCCCATTTTACATCCCCTTTCCACATCACCTGCCAGCCTGGAGTGAACAGAGAACAATTCCTTGTAAATATCACTCTCAAAGGCCTGCTGTCCCCTACAGCTGCTGTCCAGGCTGGGGCTGGAGTAGCCAGGAGCTGCTCCTGCAGCCCGCACTCCTGCCCTGCTCCCCACAGCGCCCCTGCCAGGAGAGGCTGGGGAGAATTAAACCAGTTACGATCTCTTCCTGCTCCTGGTGTTTTAACTGCTCCATAGCGCGCGCGGGGGTCCTTTATGGAGTAGCTGTGAGCCTCCTGTGGCCAGTGTTCCTGCATTTCTCCCTGGGGAAGGTGTGGTGGGGACAGGCAGGTATGGGAGCTGCCGGAGCTCCCCTGATGTGAGGCACCTACACAGTTCCCAGCAGTGCCACCTGCTGGGAAAGGCTTGGCTAGCCTCCCACACCCCTACACGTGCTCCTCTGAGGGCCAATAACATTTCCGTACAATCTGGATTCTCTTGCTAATCCTTTTCCTGAACTGTAATTTCCCCCGAGGCTTCTGTCAGTTTGATGTGGATTTCTTTGGGTTTTTTAAATAGAATTATGGGGTCAGCACTAGTTACAAACTTCTGCATGTGGACAGATCTATTTTAGATAGAAGAGGGGATTAAAGGGAAAAAAGCAGATTTAATTAAGTTGCTAATATTTAAAGAAAATTGATGAACTAAGGCTTTATGAGCTGGAGCAAACACAGAGCATGCCTTCATTATGGCCAGTTTTTATTTGCTTTTTTTTATTTTTCAATCCTGAAGTAGTTTTTATTTGTGTATCTGTGCTTTCTTTTTAATCATTTTTAATAAGGAAAATGCACCTCTGTTCACATTTAATTTTGATTTAATTAGTAGGCAGTAATTAATGGCCTTGTAAAATCCCAGTGTTAGCCCTTTAGAGCAGGGAAATAATTTCTCTTTTTAACAATCTGAACAGATGAAAGATTTTCATCTTTTCCAAGAGGCATTGCCCAGAAATACCTCATCACCAGGAATAAGGGGCGACTCCGTGGCCAGATGTGGGGCTTCCTTCCCCCATCCTGGGAGAAGAGCACGCCCAGGAGGGAAGGGGCCATTGCACCCTGCTCCAGAGCTGCTGCTTTGTTTTAGATCATGGGCTGGCGAGAGAGAGCCTCCCAGCAGTGCTCTGGAGATGCTGGGATTATGTTTGCCCTGGATTCACCTGCTCCTGGTGTGCCTAGAAGTTGGGACGAAGCGCAGAGAGGCCTGTTGCCCCAGGAAGGGGCAGGTTTCAGGGGTTACTGATGCAGATGCATATTCTGATCTCACCCCAGTGTAAGACTGGAGTAACTCCATTGACTTCCGATTTACCCTGACACAGCTGAGATGGGAGCCAGGCCATTGGGGTCTCTGGAGGACTGGCCATAGGAGGGAAATGGTGGTTGTCCCCGTGGCTATCTGCGCTGTGGAATGGCTGCTGTCTCTGCTCCTTTGGCTCTTGGCACTGTCAAGCTCAGCGCCCTCGGGCTGTCTGCACTGTCACAGCCACTCTTGAGCCATCTACAAAGCAAACCCAGTGCAAGGTTTGTTCTCCAGATCGGCTTGGGAGAGGGTGGCTTTGCTCATTGGTCATGCATTCCTGGAGAGGCCTTGGGGACGTTTGGGGCGGGTGTGCACTGGCCACAGCACAGGGTGAGGAGTTTGTCCCTGTGGCACCACTCGCCAGAGCCACCCTGCAGCTTGTCACCATATTTGGTTTCTGTGCTGGTGGGTCTGCGGTGGCAAGGGAGGCAGGCCAGGAACGAGCAACAGTGTGTATCGCTTCAGAACCGGAGGTATTGGCAGAGCTGGGGTGGGGGTGGAGGCAAAGACAGGGACTGTGGTGCCTTGGCAGAACTCTGGGTGGATGGGTGAGGGACCAGACTGCACAGCTGGGGGTGCTGCAGTTCAATATGGAGGGGGTTTGCAGGATGTGAGGGGCTCTGGGAATGCCATGGGAGCCGGTGGTAGGGCTAGGTGCACTGGTAGAGCTATGCAGAAGATGCTTACCCAAACCTGCCTCCACACTGGTGCCATTCACCCCTCACACCTGTGAACAGGACGGATCACCAAAATCCATCCCAACATTTAAATGGACTGTAAGACGCCAAATGCAGCACGGTTATGTCTACACTGCGATTAAACACCTGTGCCTGGCCCATCAGCTAACACGAGCTTGCGGGGTTTGGGCCACCGGGCTGTCCCAGAGCCCCGGCTCCAGCCTAGGACCAAACGTCTACACTGCAATTAGCCCCGGGCCTGAGTCAGCTGACCTGGGCCAGCCGCAGGTGTTTAATTTCAGTGTAGACATACCCCATGGGGCAAATGATCCGGGGGCAGCTTCTGCAGGTGTCCAGCTCAGAGCCCAGGTTAGTGCTATGCGCCAAGTTCACTGACTGGCATCTCAGAGAGACAGCCCGAGAAATCAGACAGCTGCATTTTTGTGCTTTAAAAACCTGCATATCCGTATTTTGGCCCAGGTTTCAGAACTGCTCTGACGTTCGACTGGTCATGTGCGTGCCCAAACCCTGTGCTGGTGCATACAATCTTGGTGATTGTACACCAGGTTAGGGGTGTAAATGCAGACTCACTTTCACCCCAAAGCACCCCCTGCTCCTTCTCCAGCCCTCCTTGCTCTCTCCCCTCAGACACCTGCAGACAGTTATCCTGCTCCCCCGTTAGTTGTTGTTTAGCCAAGTGATGCAGATTTAGCTCATTAATCTTCCCTTGTAAATCTGTCTTTCCAGCCCCCGGAGTGCGGGCTCTGTTTTTCTTCCTGGCTTTCCAGGTTTCAGGGCTGCTGGCATCTGCTCTGAGCACAGAGTCAGTGTTAAGCAGATGTGGAGCAGGGATATGCTGCTAGTTTGGACTGTTTGCTGGGCATAAGGGCTGGACGGGCAGGTTTATCTCCTGGCTGATAATTAGAATCATAGAATATCAGGGTTGGAAGGGACCTCAGGAGGTCATCTAGTCCAACCCCCTGCTCAAAGCAGGATCAACACCAACTAAATCATCCCAGCCAGGGCTTTGTCAAGCCAGGCCTTAAAAACCTCTAAGGATGGAGATTCCACCATCACGAATCTTGTTGCTATTGTTATGAGCAGAGAAATGCACATTTGTGTATGTGGCCCCTGCACTTTATGGAACAGATACAGCCCCTGCCGTGGTATTTCAGTCTCTGGCAAGGGTTGACATGGGGCAGCAGGATGTGACGCAGAGCAGGCAGGGTCGTTCCTGTGCAAGCCAGCTGGGTGACTACCTTATGGCTGCAATACCCGCAGGGTGGGGAGATTGCCCAGGCAACCGGAAGTGTATGTCCCAGGGTGGCTGGCCTCTTTAAATGAAGCAGGTCCGGTGCCCTGTGTCAGAGCAGGTGCTCCTGTTTGGCCAGTTGAGAGGGTGTGGAGCGCCTGGGGCTAGAAAGGATCAGGGAGAGTCCAAGGGAGGAGGGACACGACGCTGACGTGCCGGGGAGAAAGCTGAAGAGCAGCAGAGGGGTTTGCTGGCTGACCTCCCCACGCTGGAGTGCTAGGGCTGGAGGGGGCAGGACAGGAGAGGACCAACAGATGTCAGTAGGCAACTCCCTCCCAGCCGTGGGAGTTGCCTACTGACACCCAAGCTGGCGGGCCCGGGACTGGAGAGGGCTGTAGATGGGCTAACCCTCGGGGGTCTCCATGAAGGAGAGCTGGAGCCAGAGGGCCGAAGAGGGCTGAGGGCCAAGAGAACAGTGGCAGGGCTCACCTCTGGCTGGTCTGAGGTGAGAGGATGGCAGAACTGGGGGAGTGAGGGAAGGTGAGTATGCCCTCCCAGTGGAGAGGCTGTGGGGGCTCCTGTGAGGAAGAGCGGGGTTGCGCTTCAGCTGGAGGGGCTCTGGTGTGGCTCTCGTGGCAGGACAGGCGAGGACCAACGAAGACCCCGGGTGGGGTGGAAGGTGCTGGAGTGTGGTATGTGCTACATCGATGGACTGGCTGTCATGGGATTGTAAGGACCATGTGCACTGGAGTGATCAGTGGGCTGTCTGGGGAGTTCTGTTAGGGACTGTTTGCACAAGACTTTTGTAATGAACCAGCCCCAAGGATGGGTCGGTGTTACTGAGTCAAGCAAACCCGACCTGGAGCCATCAGGGGCCTGAGAGGGGATGTGGGGCCAGAACCCTCCTGCTAGGGCACCCAGCCGCAAAGGGGTGTCTGGCTGTGTGTCTCAAGTGGGGCCAGGTGAGTGGGTGTTTCCTAGGGATAGCTGAGAAAACAGGTGTATTTGTTGGCTTGGCAGGGGTGTATTTTCTAGGTATTGCCAGTCACACAGGGGTAATTCCTAGGTGATACCAGGCAGGTGGCTGTATTTCCTGTGTGATGTGGTTTGGGCAGGTGTATTTCCCAGGCAATGCTGGGCAGGTGGGTGTATTTTCTGGGTGATGCTGGGCAGGTGAGTTTATTTCCTGGCAAGGCAGGGTGGGAGTGTGTATTTGATATATATCAGAGGGGTAGCCGTGTTAGTCTGGATCTGTAAAAAGTAACAGAGTGTCCTGTGGCACCTCTGCTAGTCTTAAAGGTGCCACAGGACTCTCTGTTGCTATTTGACATAGACGATAATATATGAATAGCATGTAAAGTACATTGAATTGTCCAATGTGTGGGCATCTTACTCACAAAATAAATAAATATATAAATTGTATCTAACAAGATAAATATAATGAAGGCATCATAAAAAGAGGCAGGTCCTGGTATAAATTCTTGCTGGTGGAGCTGTATGTCTTTAAGGTGGATTATAGAACTGCAGTTTGGAAGATTGAATGGCCCATAAACATTTTCATATTTCATTAGCCGATTAATGGACAGCTCTTTTTTTGGCAACTTTGCTGATTCTCAGCAGAAATTGTGAGGAGTAAATGAATGCATCTGATGAAACCTTTCTGGGGGCCTGTCCATTATGGATTGCCCCAATTAATGCCCGCGCTGCTCTCCTCAGAGATGCATTCTGCCTGTCCAGTTACTGTTAATAGATTTCTCATAAGTGGCTGGATTGTAAAAACCTCATAACTCAGTTTAATGCCACCAATAAAATTATCTCCGGACGCCTGGCCTGGATTCCAGGCGGCTGCAGGGCAAAGGGAGCTGCTGTTTACCCTTTCGCTCCCTCATTCCAAATAGCATCTTAATTAGAAAACGAAGAGGAAATTGTTGGCTACACAAGCTGCTTTCCTGGGGGGCTGTTTCTGGTGCTGAATTCAGCGCTCATATCCCTGCCAGGATGCTGGGTGGGCATGAAGCTGTCACCGTGTGGAAGGGCTGGCAGCCGCTGGTATCGAGAGCCAGAGCATGCACACCAGAGTAGTGGGGCAGCTGGCTTGGGTTTGGAAGGGCAGTGAGCTGGTGTTTACACACATCACAGAGCAGATTTCACAGTGCTGCATGCAGTTACTCGATGCTGCCCATGTGGATGTCTGAGCCTCACACGCTTTGGGGTGGCTTTGTTCCAGTTGTGTCTCCTGTACTGTCAATCACTCTGTCTTTGGGGGCTGCTCTAGCCCGTGTGACGGGGGGTCTGAGCTACACAGAATTATTCTCTCAGTTCTGTGTTAGAAGGGAGCGGGGCAGAGATCTGGTGACAGGCCCAAGGTCACACAGCAAAGCAGTGGCAGAGCCAGGAATTGAACCCAGGTCTTCCGGGTCCCAGCCCAGGACAAGCGCATCGCTTGCTGTTCCCTTCCAAGAGGGACAGGCTGATCTGAACTAACTCTTGGCAGTGAAAACCATGCAGCCACCGGGCCCTTGCTCTGCCTGCCCTCCCCACCCCAGACCCCTGCTCTAGCCCCTCCCACTCCATGGGCCCAGCTACTGCTCCTCTCTTGCCGGGGGGCTCCTCACTGACTTGGCTCTCACAGCAAAAGTGGCGGCTGTGGCTCCAGCCAGTTCAGTTGCGCGCTCTCTCAGCACCAACCCTCGCCCTCTGTCCTTCCTCTGCAGATCCACTCGGACTCGGATGAGGGGGACGGGTCCATCAAGTACACCATCTCCGGGGAGGGCGCAGGAACCATCTTCCTCATTGATGAGGTCACAGGCGACATCCATGCCACTGAGCGCCTGGACCGGGAGCAGAAGACGTTCTACACGCTGCGGGCACAGGCCCGGGACCGCCAGACCAACCAGCTGCTGGAGCCGGAGTCTGAGTTCATCATCAAGGTGCAGGACATCAATGACAGCGAGCCCCGTTTCCTGGAGGGGCCCTACATCGGCAGCGTGGCCGAGCTGTCCCCCATAGGTAGGTGCCCTGCACCCGCGCTGAGCACAAGGTGATGGGGGCAAGGAGCTGGCAGCCCCCTGCTCCCATCCATTACCCTGAGCTGTCAAACTAGAGTCTTGTCCAGCACAGAATCACTTGTCATCAATCCAGGGATTCCAGCCACGACTGGAGCCAAGGGGGAAAATAAATAAGGCAGTTTAGGGAAACATTTGAGTAAATCCTCAGTGCTGATGGCCAGCTGGAGAAGCACGTGGGCTCCCCATGAACCTGTGCAATGGGAGTGGGCTGAGCTGGGTGCCAATTCCCCCGCTTCCCTGTCTGAGGTTTCCCCAGTTCTGCCCCAGCTTTCCTCCACACATGCCGGTCTCTGCTGCTCTCAGGCACTGGGGAGGAGTCCCCAGGCCTTGCTCGAGGCAGGGTCTGCTGCTGGTTAGGATCATACTGAGACTGATATTTCTTGCCATGTCTCCTTGCCTCTAGCTGTGTCTGCGGCACCTACGCTCCCGGCTCTCCCCACCCCTGGGATTCCACCTCCCCCATCTGTCAGTGCCTGGCTGCTGTTGCCTGGTCTATTAATTATATTGATTACTTAAAAATTCCCAGTTAACACTCGGAGGTTTGATTGGTTCTCGTCCCAAGATCAGGGGCCGTATTACTAGAATTCCTTTTGAATTGGGAACCCTGACGTACACGGTCACAACACTCACACTTTTATTAACATTGTTAGCAAAGTTTCAAGCCCAGCCAGAAAGGAAGAGGTAGCACAGAACGAGCTGAGCCGCCCCTTGGAGAACAACCTGAATGTTCACTAGTGCAAATTTCTCCTGTGTTGGACTGTTCATGTCCCTCAGTCCCAACCAATGGTCCTCCTGCCTTTCCATTCTGGGCTCCCCACACAGTCCTGATCTGCAGCCACCCTGCTGTTGCAGTGCCAAGTCCCATCCCCCAGCTATGCTGGTCCTGGCCTGCTGGACCTGCAGCACCCCCTGCTCTATCTGTGCTGCCCTGGCACCCCTCCCCCAGCTCTGCTCCCGCATATCAGTCCTGATCCAAACCCCCATCCTGTTCCATTCCTTCCCACCCCACAGCCCTGCCCTGCAGCCCCTCTCCCAGCAGCTCTGGTCACAAGCGCCCGCTGAGCAGAGGCCGGCAGTGGTGTTGAACTAAGTACAATTGTTCCGTAATGGGAGAAAACTTCAGCTGATTGGCTCAGACGTGTAAACTCATCCCTCTCGTTCCTAAGTGAGGCCTAGCACCTCACACATCACACTGCCTCCGCTCCTGCGGTAGCACGTCGTCGGGTCTGGAATGCTGTGCACCAGAGCAGGGTCTGTGCGGGGAGGTTTCCCAGAGCGTGCTAGCCACCCTGGGGAGAGGGCAGGATAGGGTCGCACTGGGCAGGCAGTTATTGTGCTTTACTGAGTGTTGGATGTAAGGTGGGGGCGGGGACGTGCAATGGGGCAGCAGCAGGGCGTCTGCCCTTTGTCCCTACTTCATGCTGGTAGTGCGTTCTGCTGAGCCCCAGAATCCATTCACCCTTTTCCCTGTTTCTGGGTGTCGTGCTGCTCCCTGTCTGCGTCGGACCAGGGGCATGGGTTGACTGAGCTTGGGGCATGGGCAGCAGGCTTGGGGTTGGTAGGCTGCGAGAGGGGAGGTATCCCAGGCAGTGGCACTGCAAATCACTGCTCTCCAAAGGCGCCTCAAGGCAAAAGACAGAGTCAGCCCGACATCAAATGGTAACAGCCGCAGGGGATGAAAAGGGGAGAGTGACAGGTGCAAAGGAAGGAGAAAGCGAGAGGACCAGCAGTGAGCAGAACTGAGGAGAAGGCAGGAGAGCGGGAAGAGCCCCCGAGGAGGCTGGCAGCGCAGGGATCATGTGGCACAGGTCCGGCTCCAGCAGGAGGACAGATAGCTGGTTTTCCCATCTGGGGGTGTGACAGGCAGTGCCCTGGAAAGGGGCCCAGGCCTGGTTCCTGTGACTGCCCAAGGAGTTAAGTGCAGCAAGGGAAGGGCTCTCCTTAGGGCCTGGCAGGAAGCCGGAGGGTCAGTCTCTTGCTGTGTTTCCTGGATGCTCTGCTCATTCAGAGCCCTGTGATGGCCTCCAGCACACGTACAGATGTGCAGAAATCATTACACCAGAGGGGCTGCTGCTGACTGAATTCCTCCTGACACGCGGTTTCAGCCCCTATCAGGAACCCTCTCCTCCTTTGGCCAAGAACGCCATCAGTCACAGACCAGGGCTCCTGTACAAATGGAAGGCAGGATGCAGGCAGCAAGGGGGAGACGCACCCCCCATTCCCAAAAGGGGGAAGCAATGAAATTAACGTAGTTTGCCTGAGCAACGTTTAAAAAGGGCGGAATTCTCAACTCTGGTTGTTAGACCAGGAGCCCTGTGCTTTGAAAATCACTTACAATTACGGAGCTGCCTGTCACAGGCTGATGTGAACAAGACGTATCAAAGGAGACAGTGTCTGTGCAAAATTGGAGATCAGAGGGAGAAAGAAACTCGGTTTCAGAACATGAAAGGAGGCGATTCCTGCAAATTAAAATCCTCAAAAGTGAAAAGTAAAGAGAAGTGTTTGGAGCAGCGTTGGACGTGCCTCTGCTGTGTCGCTCCGGAGGCGGGGACCTGACAGCCAGGAGCCAGCGCTGACCGACAGCCTCTGACCTGCCGACCCAAGGCAGCCCCAAATTAGTGAGTGTGAGCTGGCTTCCTCGCAGCTCCCCCTTCACAGTGGGGCCTCCAGCAGCCTGGCCAGCCCCAAAGGGAAGCAAAGACTGTGGGGAAACCACTCTGGGGCCCAAGGTCAAAACTCTGAAATGTCAGGGCAGATGCTTCCTCCTCGCCTGCCGCTGCCCTGCGCTGGAGAGCAGAACAGAGCTCTGCTGCAGCAGTGTTGGCCTTATGTCCCAGCTGACCCCCAGCTCCCAGGAGAGGGGAGAGCTCCCTGTGCGGCAGAGGCGGCCAGCGCAGCTGCACAAAGTCCTCGGCAGCAGCTGGGGCAGAGATCTGGAGAGTCCATCCAGACACCCACAGAGTGCTGCTGACAATGCCCCGAGGCCCCAGGCCATCCAGCACCCTGGCTTCCTTCCGAGAGCTGTACACAGGGCTCAGGTGCTGGAGAGACCACCGTCCCGTGTGCTACACCACTGGCAACAGTGTTGGGTCCTGCTTCTGCCGAGCCAGTGACACTGGGAAGCAGCTTCACCTGGGGCACTGCACTGGGGTGGGGTGGGGTGTTTATGGGGAAGCAGCTCCAGCCGGGGCACTGCATGGGGGGGCCAGGTAACTGGAGTGGGGGAGGCAGCTCAGCCCTGGGCACTGCACAGGGGGCCGGGTAACTGGAGTGTGGGGGGCAGCTCTGCCCAGGCACTGCATGGGGGGCCGGGTAACTGGAGTGGGGGGGCAGCTCTGCCTGGGCACTGCCCTGGGGTGGTGTTTATATGGGGGGGGGGAGCTCAGCCCAGGCACTGCACGGGCGGGGCCCGTGTGTATGGAGCGTTGGGGACTGCACTGGGCATGGCACGTAATGGGACAGTGACGATGGCACCACAGACTGTATGTAAAAGGCCCCAAGCCTCAGTGTGGCCCGTACCCTGGCCAGGCCAAGTCCAGCTGGCAGAGCAACTGGCTGGCCCCTAGTGTGGGCAGGGGCCTTGCTTTGTGTGCCAGGCGTGGCTGAGATCCTGGGCAGCGGGTCAGCTGTTAACTGAACGCTGCGCCCGGAGTCAGTGCACAGGACCTGCTTCACCCAGCGCCCAGGCGGGTGGGGAATCAATCGCCCCCAGATCTGAGAGTCAACCTCTGAGGAGCTTTTTCATTAACGTTCAGGAGATCCATACGTGCAATATATCCTCCCCGAGCAGCGGCCTCCGCCCTCGCTTCTGAGCATGGGCCATCAGGGAGCACCGGAGGGCAGGGAATGCTGGGGGGATACTGCGCTGCTCAGGGGAATGTGCCCTTGTCTCTGGTATCAGGATCTGGGTTAAAGCCCAGAGGTGCTGCATGGAATAAGTTTGACGGTCTCTGCTCAGGCCCCGGTGGCAGGGGTTTACCCAGCCCCCCCACAGCAGCTGGGACCCAGCCGTCCGTCCGTCACTGCTCTGGAAAGGTCCAGGACCCAACTGTTATGGAGGGGCCCTGCAGCTTGGCGACCAGGGCTGTCATTTGGCAAGATTTCCTAGCCTTTGCTCCCTCAGCCAGCAGAAAGGTGCGGGGGATCGACAGCTCCTTTCCAAACCTGCCCTGCCCTACCTGTGCTCTTACCGGGTCCTCCTGCCAGCCAAGCCAGGATGGACCAGCCGAGAAATTCTCACACTGTCATGTGACCTGCAGAAAGCCTGGGCAGCTCCCTGCCAGGTCCCCAGCAGGGACGGGGCATGTTCCTGGTGCACAGAAATCAGTTAAGCAAACATGGTCAGATGGGCTCCCGCAAGCCTGGGGGCAGATCAAGGGACAGTATTTGCATAAAGGAAGAGGACTGATTGGGAGGGAAAGGTGTCTGATTTCCCAGCATCTCAGGGAATTGCAAACAATGGAGATTTAAGCAAACTATTTCTGAGGAGCTGAGGGCGGTTACACAAAGCCAGCTCTGCTCTCGGCCCAGGATCAGGCAGCAGGGATGTGACGGGCTGGGAAAGGGGCCAGCTGCCCAAGAGAATGTGCCAGACGGACCCTGGGGTGGGGGAAGGGGGGTCTGGCTGCAGTAGGGGTTGAGAGGCATAAAGGGCAGGGGAGAGGGAGTTTCTCGTCCTGAATCAGAAGCTCCCTGGAGCTCAGCCGCGGGAGCCAGGCTGTACACACTCTGGACCCGGGGCTCCCTCCAAGCATATGAGAAGTGTCTTGGCCAGTGCTGGGTACAGGGTGTTGGGACACTGTGCTGCCGCCGCAGGTGGAAATTACCTTACAATCTCACCCAGCACCCCAGGACTGGCCACAGGCACCGGGCAGCAGGGGCTTTCCAGAGGGAGCTGACTCTTTGCAGGCCACCAGCTTCTCATCTAGCCATTTCACTGGG